TGCAACAGAAGCCTGAAAATTACACATGCAAAAGAGAATTTGAACAATGTTATAAATTCCAACTACAGGACAAACATTTTAAAGAAAAATCCCGGTAGGGCATTTGGACATCCCTCTCACAATCCAGGACTTCTGGCTCCCAACTGCTTCTGCCTGCCAGCCTGGTCACCCCCTAACCACTCCCTTGCCAGCCCAATTGCTGCCTAACTGCTCTCCCCTGCAGGTCTGCTCCCCTCTAACTGCCCTCCCCTGCAGGCCTGATTGCCCCCAACTGCCCTCCCTTGAAGGCCTGATCCCTCCCAACTTCCCTCCACTGCTGACCTGATCACCCACAACTGCCCTCCTTTGCAAGCCTGGTCCCTCCCAACTGCCCTCCCCATCTTGTGGGGGTCATCTTGTGTCCAGATCGGGGCAGCCATCTTGTGTGTTGGAGTGATGGTCAATTATTAGGCCTAGTAATAATTAATGTCGTTTTCTAATACTTTTTTTTTAATCGAATTTATTTAAACAATACAACAAAATTTAATCAACAATATAGTTGCCGTTGTTTTCTACTACTTGTGCCCAACGCTCAGGAAGCATTTTAATCCCTCTGTTGTAAAATTCTTGTGATTTTGATGCAAAAAATTCGGTCAATGCATTTTTGAGGCATTCTTCATTATTAAATTTTTTTCCAAGAAGAAAGTTTTGCAAAGAACGAAACAAATGGTAATCGGAAGGGGCAATATCAGGAGAATATGCAGGTTGAGGGAGAACTTCCCATTCCAACTGGCGCAGTTTTTCAGCAGTGATTCTTGCAGTATGCGGTCATGCGTTATCGTGGTGAAGAATTACGCCCTTCCGATTAATCAGCGCGGGTTCTTTTTCTCTTAAAGCTTGGGCTAACCTTTCCAATTGGGCACTATACACTGCACTTGTAATGGTTTGGTTAGATGGTAAAAGTTCATAATGAAGAATTCCTTTAAAATTCCACCAAACACACAACATCACTTTTTTCGCATGCAAGTCAGGTTTTGGCGTGGGCTGCGGAGCCTCATTTTTGTCCAACCAATGAGGCCGCCTTTTCAAATGAACGTACAGCACCCATTTTTCATCTCCGGTAACATTTTGCTCTAAAAACGGCAAACGGTTTTGACGAGAGAGGAGCGAACTGCAAATTGTGACTCTTTGATTACGGTTGTTGTCGGTCAACTCATGAGGAACCCATTTTCCAAACTTTTGGACTTTGCCAAGTGCACGCAATTGATTGGAAATTGTTTTTTGTGAACAATTTAAAGTTGTCGCAAGCTCTTGTTGGGTGATTTGGGGATTTTGCACCAAAAGAGCTTGAAGAGCTTCTTGATCAAAATTGGACACACGGCCTCAACCACTCTTGTCATCTAACGAAAAATTTCCCTCGCAAAATTTCTCAAACCAACGCTGGCATTTTTTGGCGCTAACTGCATCTTGACCAAGAGCACTACAGATGTTTTTTGCAGCCTCACTTGCTTTTCTTACTAATTGGAACTCGTAAAGCATGCAGTGCCGAATATGCTCTTCATCCGCCATCTTCTTAGCCCTAGTTTTGCAACAAAAACCAAACCAAACACAAACTTTTTCAAGCAAAACTTGTTAATTGCACTTCACACGTTCTGTAGATACCACGTATTTGAAGGTTATGTCAATACAAGTCAACGCCAAGCAAGATTTTAAACGAATGTTTAAAAACGACATTAATTATTACTAGACCCAATAGTATATTACTCTTTTATTATATAGGACTAGAGACCTGGTGCACGAAATTCATGCATGGGGGTGGGAAGGGAGGAGGGTGTCCTCAGTCCAGCCTGCACCCTCTCCAATCTGGGCATCCCTCTCACAATCCAGGACTGCTGGCTCCTAACCGCTCGCCTGCCTGCCTGCCTGATTACCCCTAACTGCTTCTGCCTCCCAGCCTGATCACCCCCTAACCACTCCCCTGCCAGCCAGACTGCCGCTAACTTCCCTCTCCTGCCGGTCTGGTAGCCCCTAACTGTCCTCCCCTGCTGGCGTGGCCATCCCAACTGCCCTCCCCTGCTAGCCTGGTCACCCCTAACTGCCCTTCCCTGCTGGTTTGGTCACCCCTAACTGTCCTTCCCTGCAGGCCTGATTGCCCACAACTGCCCTCCTCTGCTAGCCATCTTGTGGCGGCCATCTTGTGTCCACATAGGGACAGCCATCTTGTGTGTTGGAGTGATTGTCAATTTGCATATTACTCTTTTATTAGATTGACAACATCTTGTGTCCACATGGGGGCAGCCATCTTTGACCACATGGGGACAACTGTCTTGTGTGTTGGAGTGATGGTCAATTTGCATATTACTATTTTATTAGCTAGGAGGACTATATAGAATAGCAGCTAGCAGATGTATAGTTTATGAAATTCTTAAACTTGCCCAGGTGGGAGGTATGGAGGGGACACCATCTGAGTGTGGGCCAAGAGGCAGGTGATGGATTGCATGAGGTGCTGGACCTAAATCATCTCCTGCTTGGAGCAACCATCATGCTAACATTTACACTTATCTTGACAAATATTTATTCACTTTTGTGTGTGTGTTTCTTCTTAACCTATTTATTTTCTAATGTAATTACTGCTACAAAGACTATAGTCAATGTATATGTAAGTTATGAATCAGAATAATAAAGCAAATTCATATGAAAGAAAAAACATAAACTGGGCAAAAAAGAATTACAAAACCAAGTCAACAAAACACTTGGCTTATTCCAAGTTTTAAAAAGATGAGCATTCTAAACAATAAAACAAGGCAGGTTTATTCAGCAAAATAACCCTGAAATTTCATAGTAAAACTATCAGAAATTATGGAAGGAAATGCTACCAGTTGATTTGCTAATCTGCAACTTCCTACTCTGGTATTTGTACCATCAGATATATCTTACTAACAGGAAGACTGAATAACAACATCAAGTTTTTTGGCAGAGAATATAGTTCAGACTATATTCTAGAACTACCTCTATTACACTATGAATCTGGACATTTCTCTTAGTTATATTCATCTCTCAATGATTCTAACTATAAATTCAATCTTATAATCAATAAAAATGTGCTGTCTGATAAAATAACTATAAAGTACATACTATAAAATTCAAGTAGAAACTACTATGCTCATATTAAGAGACAATCTTCTTACAAATTTCATGTTTATAAACTAACCTGTAAACTTATGTATAAACAACAACAGTCTTGAACTGAATTTCCTATCACAATTACTAATTTTTAGAATGCATTCCAAATACAGCTCGTGATAGAAGATGCCCTATTCCTTTTCTGCAGGTTATCAATAGAGTGCACTTTCAGAACCTTAGACATACAAAGTTAATCATAACTTTATAGATTCCATACCAAGAGGAAACCTCTTCAATGTATGGTAATTCATCCTGGACCCACTGGAGTGTGACATACAAAAGAGGGGGAGCCGAAACCGGTTTGGCTCAGTGGACAGAGCATTGGCCTGCGGACCCAAAGGTCCCGGGTTCGATTCTGGTCAAGGGCATGTACCTTGGTTGTGGGCACATCGTCAGTAGGGGGTGTGCAAGAGGCAGCTGATCCATGATTCTCTCTCATCGATGTTTCTTACTCTCTATCCCTCTCTCTTCCTCTCTGTAAAAAAATCAATAAAATATGTTAAAAAAAAAAAAAAAAAAGAGGGGGAAATGCACCAAAAAATAGAGTAAGCCACGATCGTGCTAGCAGATGGTATGTCTAAAAAGATTTTCAGTGCTCACGCACAAATCAGCATGTTCCCTCTAAACACAGAGAATTCAGAAACAGAAACTAAGTAGGTGAAAAAAAAAGGGGGGTGTGGGAGAGCACCAGAGATCAAAAGGCCTCTGGAAAGGATGACGGTTAATTAAGTTTTCCCTAGGGAAATGGAGAGGGAAGATGCACAATGACGTTTTAAAAGAAATTTAAAATTCAATTCGAAATGGGAAGACGTCGCACACCTGAGCTTCAATCACAAGTTTCCTAACTACTGTCTGGGCACCCTACCTGCCTTAATGACTCACTCGCTCTCCTTGAATGAAGGCTTAGTCACAGAGCTCCTCCTAGGGAAAATAACAATACTTTGAAGTGTGCTCAGGAGCGGGAGGGAAGCAAGAACTTTCAACTTGATGCAACTACAGAAAAAGGGGCTGCGGACGCAGGAGATACTAGCAAGTAGGAATCCGGCGGTTCTGGGCGGGCAGCTTGGCCGTACAGGGCAGAATGGGGCCGCGGACCTGGCGCCCGGGCTCTCCGGAAGGCCCGGTAGCCAGTCCTCGCCCGGCTCCCGGAGGCCCAAGGGCGGGCGCTGCCGGGCGGGCGCTGCCAGCCCCACTCCAACCACCGTCTCCTAAAAGTCCTCAACCGCCTCACCAAGAAGATGTGTGGCCCCCTGGCCCCCGAACGTCCGCTACGTGCGCCATCCCTTACAGAATTAGCAAGAGTGAGAAGCCTGAAGAGGAAGGAAAAGAAACCCAGCGAGTCGGGGAGAGCCTGCGGCGGCAGGATGCGCCCACGGACCGGAACGCTGCAGCCCGGGCGGCGCGGCCGGACCTGTACGGTCGCCAGACTCCCGAGGCGACGGCGCCTCCACCTCGCGCCGCCGTCTGAGACGCCCGGGCCCAGGAACGGCGCGCCGCGGGCCGGGGCTGGCTTGCCGCGGTCTCCCCCCACCCGGCCCCGGGACAGGGTCCGGCCCCTCCGCCGCTCGCACACTCACCGCGCGCGCCGCCGCCCCGGCGCGGCCGCCCGCCGCCCTCGGAGCGCTCTCCGCCCCGCCCTCCGCGCCGCCCGGCCCGCGGACTGGGCGCCGCCGCGCGGCGGCGTGGGAGGCGCGTCGGGGCGCATGCGCTCTCCGGGCCACTGGCAACGGCCGGCGCGGAAAGTTACCGTCCCGGCGTGCCGGTTCCCTTAGAGACAGAAGCCGGGCTGGGCGGCGGCGGGGAAACCGCCAAGACAGCCTGCCCTTGCGGAAGCCAAGATGCCGGCTAGGGGCAAGAGAAAAGGGAAAGGCAAGATAAAAAAAAAAGACAAAGACAAGATTAAGTAAGGAGAACCCACGCTGGGGTCGGCTCCCGGGATTCGGGCCTGGGGGCCGCAGGGGTTGACTGACGGACACCTTGCCTCCCGCTCTCCTGCACTTGTCTCTGGCTCTCCCCCCGAGTCTGAGGACAGTTCCCATGGTTCAGAAATTCTCAAATGCATGCCAGACTTTATTGCTTCAGCTTAGAAAATAGGATGAAATTTGAGATCCTGACGTAATTAAAAAAAAAAAGTTTTATTTATTTTTTTACAGAAAGGAAGGGAGAGGGGTAGCGAGCTAGAAACATTGATGAGAGAGAAATATCGACCAGCTGCCTCTTGCACACCCCCCACTGGGAAAGTGCCTGCAACCAAGGTTCATGCCCTTGACCCGAATCGAACCTGGGACCTTTCAGTCCCCTGAGCCAAACCGGTTTTGGCCCTGATGTAATTTAAAATATATATATATGTTTTATTGATTTTTTTTTTTTTACAGGGAGGAAGGAGAGCTAGAAACATCAATCAGCTGTCTCCTGCACACCCCCACAGGGGATGTGCCCGGCAACCAAGGTACATGCCCTTGACCGGAATAGAACCTGGGACCTTTCAGTCCGCAGCTCCAGGTCGACGCTCTATCCACTGAGCCAAACCAGTTTTGGCGACCCTGATGTAATTTAGACACAGCCCCTACCTATGTATAATGCGTTAACATTAACGATGGAGGCAGATAGGTTCCCCCAAAGTAGAATGACTATGGGACGGAATGAAATAGGTACTTGTGGAGGAACAAAGAGCTGAGAAGGAGAAGAGGTCTGACACTAGAAGTGAAAGCCAGGAGAACATACATTGGGATATTGGAGGTCCTCTAGACCAGCGCTGTCCGATAGGGCAGTCACTGGCCATGTGTGGCTACATTAAAATTAAATAAAATTGCCGAGGCCGGTTTGGTAGAGCGTCGGTCTGCGGACTGATAGGTCCCAGGTTCGATTCCAGTCAAGGGCATGTACCTTGGTTACAAGGCACATCCCCGGTAGGGGCTGTGCAAGAGGCAGCTGGTCGATGTTTCTCTCTCGTCGACATTTCTAGCTCTCTCTCTCTCTCTCTCTGTGAAAAGTCAATAAAATATATTTTTTAAAAATTAAATAAAATTAACCATTCAGATCCTCAGTTGTACCAGCTACATTTCATAACCTCAGTTAAGCACATGTTGCTAATGTAACTTCATTGGACAGATATCTAACATTTTCATCATGACAGCAGTACTGGACAGCAGTACTCTAGATGAATGGTTCTTAACGCAGGGTGATTTTGCCTTCCAGGGCACATTCGGCAATATCCCTGGAGACATTTTTGATGATCACATCTGGGAATGTGTGCTATTGGCATCTAGTGAGTAGAGATGCTGTTTTACACTCTGCAAATACACAGGACAACCCTCTCACCCCGCCAAGAATCATTTAGCCCAGAATGTCAGCAGCGCCAGCATGTGGAAACCCTGCTCAAGACTATAAACTTTTCTAGAATAGGCACTAAACATTAGTCACTATATCTCCAGCACCTAGCAGAGAGCCTGGCACACAACAGATGCTTATTATTTGTGCAATAAATAAGGTATCTGCCTGTGTGTTTCAACTTAGACATTTATTCCACGAGAACTGTGCTCTTGATCCTAGTCTGAGAAATCTCTACTATGTGGTTGAGATGATCTTAAACACCTAAAAGATCTCTTGATGATTGAAGTAGTTCCTTGGTCTTCTAGGGATTCCTTTGGGTTCAAAGAAAAGCATAAAGGATTTGACCAAATTGGGTAATTGTTCAGATTTCTCCAAAATGATCAGAACAAACTAGCATGGAACCTTTCCAGGCTTAGAGCTGCTGCTAATTGTCGCTAACCTATTAGGTAGTCCTACTACCGTGTTTCCCCAAAAATAAAACATACTCTGAAAATAAGACCTACTTACAGGTTTCCTTCTGAGTGAAATATAAGGCATCCCCCCAAAAATAAGGCCCCCCCTAGGCTCTGTCTCAGAATGAAAATTAATTTACCATAAACTGGTCGCTAGGGCTGCCCCGACTGGCGTCTAGCAACCAGTGACGTTATGTGGAGTCCTGACGTCACTGCTGTGTGGAGGCAGAGCTGAGGTCGGAGTGAGCGGTGAGTGCCCGGCAGGAGAGAGGAGGAGATTTTTGCAGATGTATAACAAGAGGATTAGAGCAGACAGGACGCAGGTGGTGAGTGCTGGTCTCTGTTGACACTACCTGATGCTCGCGGCTGCCCTCATGATGACTGAAGGTTCTCAGTCAGTGGCAGACCCTGCTCCAGCCCATATTCAGGCCCCAGCAAGCCCAGTGACAGTCCCCAAGCAGGCCCCAGGGAGTAAATGTCTGATAAAGGGGTAGGGGGAGATGTCTGGGGAAGGTGTTCAGTGGCAGAGGGGTGGGGGGAGGGGGATCACTTAAAATGACACAGGAGGATCAGAGGGGGCAATCAAAATGACACAGGAGGATCAAAAGGGGTTACTAAAATGGTAATCCCCCCTCTGATTCTCCTGTGCCATTTTGATTCCCCCCCTCTGATCACCCCTGTGTCATTTTAAGTGACCTCCCTCCCCCCACCTTGATACCCCAATTCCTTTTTTTAACCCCTAGAAATGAGCGCAAAAAGAAAAAGCTACTCCGTGGAGTACAAGAAAGCAATCGTGGAAGACTCTTGGGGCCAAAATCCTACTGCTTTCTGCAAAGAGAAGATGTTGAGTATCCGATTGGTCTGAAAATGGTGAGCAGAGTATGGTAACCTCATTGAACAAGTGGACAAGGGAAATGCTATTATAAAAAGCACAAGTGTGAATCAGGTCAGCAGCCATTATTTTTCGAGCTGAAAAACCTGATCTGTGAATGAGTTGTTGACAGGAGAGCAGAGGCTTTGATTGTGAATAGGGCTCAGATTCAAGAATTTGCCCTTGCAATGGCACCACAGTTTGACATAGCCCCGAAGACTTCAAAGCATCACAACACTGGCTGTATAATTTCCTTCAGCGAAGTGAACTGTCTTTAAGAAGATCTACAAAATTGTTTAGGTTGGAAGATACTCAAGTTATTAAACGAGCACTTGCATTCAACTCCTTTATTGATGATGCTGACTTCTCTAAATACAATCTTTCCAACATGATTGCTATGGATGAAACTGCCGTGTTTATGGGCCAATTATCTCAAACAACAATTGAACAGCAGGGTGCCTCCTTAGTGTACATTCCCTCCACTGCTTACGAAAATGCAGGTGTTTCCTGTATTTTGGCAATTCGTCTGAATGGCACTAAAATCCCACCTTTAATCATTTCTAAGGGCAAGAAGGAAAAGATTGAACATGTTTTGGGCATTTTATTCTTGAAACTGAAAAAGCCTGGGCCACACAAGCAGTTATAAGGAAGTGGGTTGATTTAATGCTGCTGCTTGTTATGCGATGGAGCCAAAGAGGTCTGCTAGTCTGGGATGCAGCCAGCACTCACTGCACTAAAGACATGAAGACATTTCTTCACAAAAGAAAAATAGATCAGATAATGATTCCTGCAGGAATGACAGCTTATCTCCAGACTCTTGATATTGCAATAAACAAGCCATTCAAAGACAATTTGCACATAGAAATTAATGACTACATTGAAAATAGAATGGAGAGAAATCAGCGTGGAAACTTTGTGAAAACTAAACTGCAAGAAGTTATGACTTGGGTGAAGAATTCATGGGAGAGAATCACAGTTGCATTGCAAATGCACTGTGAGCAGGCTACCTTGACAAGAAGTACTCATTTAAAGACAGTGCTATTGCTAAACATGAGAGATTTGGTCCACTGATTCTGAAAGAAATGGAGTCACAGGAAATTCAGGAATTGGATTGTTATGATGATGTTGACATGATTGTCATTGAATAAATGAGTAAATTCTTGATACTGTAGGATTCACAGTTTGTTTGGTTTGTGTTGACAACTACCGTACTACCGTACCGTATACAGGTAATAAATTTCCTTTATTTTCATTTAACAATAAATGTGTACCGTATTCTTCTTCATGGAAAAATAAGACATCCCCTGAAAATAAGACCTAGCGCATCTTTGGGAGCAAAAATTAATATAAGATACTGTCTTATTTTCGGGGAAATAGGGTAGGTCCTGACACATTGGAGTCATACATGCTGTCCAACAATACTATACATGGGACTATGAGAGAATCCCCAAACTCGTAAAGTTTGTGGTTATTTATTTAAGAGTAATAAATGCTCAGTTAAGAAAGTTTAGGAAACATGGAAAGTTAAAGTAGAATAAAAAAAATAATCACATGTAATTCAATTCATCATCCACTACTATCATTTTGGGATTTTTAAAAAAATCTTTTTTAAATGATAGCCCAATATACATAATTATTTGTACTAATTATATATATATATATTAAGGTAACCAGATCGTCCCGCTTTTGGTGGGACAGTCCTGATTTTCAACATTTTTCCCCGCATCCTGCAGCGTTTTAAAGAAGTCTCAATTTTTGGAAAGAATCTTTCCAATCTTTCCAAAAATCGGGACTTTTTAAAAATGCCTAGCCAATAAACAAACAAGAAATACACACAAAATAACCTAGAACAAAAAGAAAATTGAGATTGGGAAGATTACAGAAATATGGACTTGAAGTTACATTTACACTATGAATGTATCTTCATGGTGAAGAGGAACTAAGGTAATGGATTTGTAGTAGAGAGTCAGGGTCTAAGACTGAGCAAGTCAGAATAGAAAAGACAGTTCAAATGTGGGAGAATCAAATACGTGAAAAGATGTGAAAGCCTTATGAAATAAATTTAACTTATTATGCCTTTCCTCTTTGTTTTTCTAGTCCTTTAGAGTTATCCTCCAAAGCTTTCCTCTTCCAGGAAGAGGCACCTACTAAGACAACTCCTTTGTCAAGTAAATATGTATTTATTATTAACTAATTCATCTAATAATGTTTGCTCATATGTGCCAGGCAATATCAAACAAAACAATAATAGAGAAATGTAAAAAAAAAAACCCACAAAAACCAATAATAGAGAAATGTAATAGAGAATAATTAGTTATATGTTGTCAATGCCCCCTTCTCATGTAGGAAGATACCAAAAATGGAGGAAAGTACAATAGAAAGAGCCAAGGCCAGTGCCTCCCTTTGGGAGGCCAGGCTGGAAATCACAGAACTCTCTAGGATTGAGTATCGTGATACTTCTCTGAGACTTGCGAAAACGAATGAGGACTTAAAGAAACAGCAGTATAAAATGGAGAAAGACACAATGACTGTATTAAGCTACCTGAAGAAGCAGGATCAGGAGAAAGATAATATGGTAGGTGGGTAGAAATCCTCATTACATAGAAGTTTTGTGGCCTGCATTAACTAATTGATATTGGTCTGCCTTTATCAGTATCACTTACATATTTTTTTATTTTTATCTGCCTCCATATATCAAAGGTCTACATATAGCTGTAGCAGATGCATAATTTTTCACAATCATGGATGTTTATTAAAACCAAAGAAATTATTTTGCAAAGAAGTAAAGCAGGTTCAATATATCCTGGTGCTGAAACCGGTTTGGCTCAGTGGATAGAGCATTGGCCTGAGGACTGAAAGGTCCCGGGTTCGATTCCGGTCAAGGGCATGTACCTTAATTGTGGGCACATCCCCAGTGGGGGGTGTGCAAGAGGCTGCTGACCAATGTTTCTCTCTCATCAATGTTTCTAACTCTTTATCCCACTCTCTTCCTCTCTGTGAAAAATCAATAAAATATATTTAAAAAAAAAATATATATATATATCCTGGTTAGCTAGCTCTCCTATAGTGTTTTATTCATTCTTCTATATCATAGAAATGCATTATTTTCTTAAACTTTAAGCTGTTATAGTCCTATTTCATGTGAATTATAGAAATATTAAAAATAAAATGCTTTTCCCTGGCTGGGCAACTCAGTTGGTTAGAGAATTGTCCCACTATGCCAAGGTTGTATGTTTTCTCCCCAGTCAGGGTACATACAAGAATTAACCAAAGAATAATGTATGCCTAAATAAATGGACCAATGAATCAATGTTTCTTTCTCTCTCCCCACTTGCTTCCTTTCACTCTCTTTCTATCTCACAAGTTTATAAAAATTAAAAAAGAAAATGTTTTAAAAATTATATCTTGACAAAATTAGGAAATTTTTCTTAAAAATGGGTTTTTGTATTTAATGCTTTGTTCAGTCAATCACAAAAGATCATTTCATACCCATCCTACATGGTTTAGGACTATATATATTTTTTAGAATTTGTAAGTTTTCCTTAAACTAGTCTAAGATATTATTTACAGCAATATTTCACTTCTGGATCCTCTGATTGCATAACCAAATCAAGGAGTTTTTAATTTAAAAAACTATTTAGGTTCCATACTAAACCAGCATCCTTGGAGAAATGATTAATTCCAAGACTGGGGAAGGGAAAGTAAAAGATGAGCCTGGAATATGTTATTGTGACAGAGAGTAAGTAAAAAAGATTAACTTGGGATGGTAAACCCAGAGTACAGATATGTTGTGGAATTGGGCACCTGAGCCTGTATAATTTTGTTAATCAGTGTTGCCCCAATACATTCAATAAGAAGGAAAAAAATTAGTAAGAAAAAAAGTAAAAATATTAGAGGACACAGGAACTAGTTGAAAGGGGCTCCCACTGGCCAAATCTGGAAAAATAAAAATAAATAATTACTAATAAGTTAAAACTCATTGAAAAGAGTAAGTCCATGAGCACATACTACTAATAAATAAATACATTGTAAATGAGGGAGAAGGGAAAGCTTTTCCTTATAGTAGAATATAGTAAATTATTAAATTTCCAAGGAGTGAGGATGGAGTAGGAACAGTCACCATTTGACATCACAGTAATAATTGATTCGGTCAGAAATTATCACTAGATGCTAAAACTAGTGGGTTATAGTTTGATGTACAGAAGGATATGTGCAAAATTTCAAAATACCTTACCACAAATCACTTGATAATTACAAAAGAAAAAAATACTAACTTTTTTTTTTTGTAAGCCTTGTCGAAACAAGGCCACCAAAAATTTTGGTTGCCTTCCCCCCCCTCAAAAACAAAATTGGGGGAAAGAGAGAGAGAGAGAGAGAGAGAGAGAGAGAGAGAGAGTAGAGCGTCGGCTTGGGGACTGAAGGGTCCCGAGTTCAATTCCGGTCAAGGGCATGTACATTGGTTGCGGGCATATCCCCAGTAGGGGGTGTGCAAGAGGCAGCTGATCGATGACTCTCTCATCGATGTTTCTAACTTATCTCTCTCCCTTCGTATCTGTACAAAATCAATAAAATATATTTTTTAAAAAAAGAAAAAGAAAGAAACATCAATGAGAGGTGCCCGCAACCAAGGTACATGCCTTTGACCATGCTCTATCCACTAAGCCAAACTAGTTAGTGCAAAATATATTTTTTAAAAATGGTTAACATTTCCTTTCTGAAGTCAATAAAAACATTTCATAGGTCACCGATCTTTTTTTTTTTCAATTATTAAGCATAAGGTAACCTTTATTGAAAATTCGTCAATGAGATAGGTTTTTAAAAATACGTAGTTTAACAATGAATATTATTTATATTGGAACGAGACAGGGTTTTAACATGTATTAATTGTCTTGAGAGAGAAAAAAAAAATATATATATATCAATTTTTTGTTCCACTTATTTATGCATTTATTGATTGATTCTTCTATGTGCCCTGACTGGGTATCAAACCCACAACCTTGGCATACTGGGACAATGCTCTAACCAACTGAGCTACCCAGCCAGGGCTTAATGTTGTGGGTTGTTTTTTTTTTTTTTTACCACAACTTAAAAAAAAAAGAGTTACTTAGGTAATTCTTACGATAGCCAGGTTTTGGAAACTAGCATTAGCAGATTAAAGTTATGAAGTATGTTCCCTCTCCTCTTCCCACCTTACTCAACCTCTCCAACTCTACTGGTTTTAATATGTGAAAACACGGTTATTTAATAAAGGAAGAACAGCAATTTCATCACCTTCCTAACTGTATTTTCATCTTCTACAGATTGAAAAACTAAAACAGCAATTGACTGAAACAAAGGAAAAAGCTCAAGAGGAGAAGGAGAAATTGGTAATTATCAATGTACATTAATTAATACACTTAGTGGGTGATCAGGTTTCTGGAAAGCTCACTTTTAAGACACAATGAGATTAAATGAATCGGTCATCTGAGCATCTCAGTGACCTTACAGCTCAGTGACCTTACAGCTCAAAAAAATAACATTAAAATATGTTGTTGTAGAAAACCATTTGGTATTAATGGTGCTTACTGTGTCTGAGTTTTACATTCTTCCTATGGCTTTTCAGTGGGCCAAAAGTTAGGAAATATGTGTATATTTTTAAAAGCTTAAAATATATAAACAAAATTTAAGCTCACACTAATATTTTCAATTCAGATGTAGGAATATAGGGTTTTTACTTAACTTTATCTCTTTATAAAGTTAAATGTGTCCTTTTTTCCTTGCCCAAAATCCTGGTTCTTAATGATATCTATATAATTTTTTAGTTGCTTTAAACCTCAATTCATCAACAGTCACAGAATACTAATACCAATGTTACCACTAACATAGATTAGAGGGAACAGTTTTAAGATTTTTGTGGGGTCCTTTTCCTCTTGATATATGTCAATAGGAATGTACTATCAAATTATAAACTGGTTTGGCTCAGTGGATAGAGCATTGGCCTGTGGACTGAAGGGTCCCAGGTTCAATTCTGGTCAAGGGCATGTACCTTGGTTGCAGGCACATCCCCAGTAGGAGGTGTACAAGAGGCAGCTGATCCATGTTTCTCTCTCATCGATGTTTCTAACTTTCTATCCCTCTCCCTTCCTCTCTGTAAAAAATCAATAATATATATATATATATATATATATATATTTTTTTTTTTTTAAAGAACTATTTGAAATAATTCCTTTCTGTGAGGTTATGCCACAAACTCAACAACACTCTTTGCTTTTGATTTTTAGGAGTTGCTTTTTAAAAGTTTAATTGTGCATATAAAAGTATGTAATTATATAAATATTTATAATTATGTAAAATATTTATGTGGTTCCAAAGTCAAATCTACTAAACATGGTATATTCTGAGAAATCTAACTCTGTCTATGTGTTCAAAATATACCAGAGTATATTATCAAAATAGAGTTTTATCAGCATAATAAATGAGAAATGGTGTTTCAGTGTATTTCAATTTGCATTTCTCTTATTGTGAGTTAGGTTGAGCATTTTTTTCATATTTTTAGAGTCATTTGCATTACTTTTGATATTTCAGGTGTGGTGGGTTTTTTGTGTGTATGTGTGTTTTGTTTGTTTGTTATTGTTGTTTTGCTGAATTGGCCCTTTTTTTCCCCTTCTTTTTCTCTCTCCTTTTCTTCCCTTTCTCCCTCTTCTTCCTTCTTTCTTCTCCTCTCTCTCCTTCCTTCCTTCCTTCCTCTTTCTTCCACCTTTCTCCTTGCTTTCTTTAAAAAATATATATTTTTATTGATTTCAGCAAGAGGAAAGGAGAGGGGGAGAGAGAGATTGAAACATCAATTATGAGAGAGAATAATTGATTGGTTGCCACCTCCATGCCCCCTGCTGAGGATTGAGCCCGCAATCCAGGCATGTGCCCTTGAACAGAATCAAACCCAGGATCCTTCCATCCACATGCTGACACTCTGTCCATTGAGCCAAACCGGATAGGGCTCCTTGCTTTCTTTACTAGAGATATTATCCCTCTCTTTGTCTCTTAATTTATTAGTTTTAATTTAGGGTCAGGAACATTTTTTTTTAACTTTATGCAAAAATATAAAGGGAACATTTTGCCAAAGAGGGTAGACAAATGGCTTAAGGCTTCAAATAGGACATGATTCTAAAGGATATCTGTTATTTTTCCTAACTCGTTTACCTGTTTTTCTTTGTTTTTATATACAGGAACAAAAGTATAATGTGCAAATACATGAACTGGAGGGACAGTTCTATCAGAAAGCCAAAGAAATTAGCATGATTCAGACAGAGCTAAAAACAATAAAACAATTCCAAAAACGAAAAATTCAAGTGGAGAAAGAATTAGAAGATGTAAGTTTCTTTCTTTCTTTTAAAAGGAGGTTAGAATTAACTACTATGTCCGCAAAATCCTTCACTGACATTTACTCATGTGAGATGGTAAAGGGATTTTTTTTTTTTTTTTTACAATAAACGTATAAGACATCAGTTTAGGGCTGGATGCAAAAGGTCTTGATGTTTAGACTTTTCTTTTTCTAAGCATTGATTCCTTTGTAAATGTACCGAATCTGAGCCAGCATATTCTCCCATATTTATCAGCAGTCAAACAGTTAGAGTAACTTCAATAAGACACAAACTACAGTTCTTTGAAAACAGTATGGGAAAAGTCCTAAAGGAAAATATGCTTACACAGATAAATGATAATTTTAGAAAAATTTAGAAGGCTCTCTGGGAAGATGTGGGTGGGATGCGGAAAACAGTACTTTTAGAAAATTCCTTTGACCTTGCTATGCTCTTTCTCTTACTTTCCATCCCCTCAGCTCAGAATATAGTTTTATTGCATTGATCATAACACAACAAATGTCACAGATGAGTGCTAGGCACAAGTAGCTAAAGTCAGCTTTGTGACTTGGGGCAAACTCAACCTCTCCATACCTTCGTTTCCTCATCTGTAAAATTAGGAGAATAAGAATCTTATAGTGTTGTGTTGTTTTTAAAAATATATATATTTTATTGATTTTTCACAGAGAGGAAGGGAGAGGGACAGAGAGCAAGAAACATCAATGAGAGAGAAACATCAATCAGTTGCCTCCTGCACCCCCCCCACGGGGGACATGCCTGCAACCAATGTACATGCCCTTGACCGGAATTGAACCTGGGACCCCCCCAGTCCGCAGACTGATGCTCTCTATCCACGAGCCAAACTGGTTTCGGCTTATAGTGTTGTTTTAAGGAATGAGTTCATATATGGAAAGTCTTTAAAATAGTGTATATGATATAGTGAGAATTATATTAACAGTGGTGGGTAGCTCTCTGAAAAAATAGGTTATTACTGAAAAAAAGTAATAATTTTCTGTGTCCCCATAGCATTTTGTATCTTTTTTAATACCACTTAGTCTATCCTATCTTGATATTACAGTTATCATTTGTTTTATCTCCCCTACTGGACTGTAAATTCTTCAAAGTACAAACAGTGTTGTCCTTTGTATTCATAAAAAATACAAAATAAACAGTAATTTACTAGCTCAATAAATATTTGTTAAATGCTGAGTGGGTCTTTTCATTAAAAATGTAATTGGTGGGAACTGCCCAAACCGGTTTGGCTCAGTGGTAGGGCATCGGTCTGTGGACTGAAAGGTCCCAGGTTTGATTCCGGTCAAGGGCATGTACCTGAGTTGCGGGCACATCCCCAGTAGGGGGTGTGCAAGAGGCAGCTGGTCGATGTTTCTCTCTCATTGACATTTCTAGCTCTCTATCTCTCTCCCTTCCTCTCTGTAAAAAATCAATAAAATATATATTTTAAAAAATGTAATTGGTGGGAATCTGGCTGGTATGGCTCAGTAGTTGAGCATCAACCTGTGAACCAGGAGGTCATGGTTCAATTTCCTGTCAGGGCATATGCTCAGGTTGTGGGCTCTATTCCCAGTGTGGGGCGTGCAATAGGCAGCCAGTCAATGATTCATCATTAATGTTTCTATCTCTCTCTCCCTCTCCCTTTCTCTTTCGCTCTCAAAATAATAATAATAATAATAATAATAATAATAATTGGAGGGATATCAACCTTTCTTTTAATTAGATGGGAGGAACCCTTTCACAATGTATACATATATCAAATCATCACTATGTATACTTGAAATACCTTACAATTTTATTTGTCCTTTATGCCTCAATAAAGCTGAAAAAAAAAATTAGAAGGAATATTAAGTTCTGTTTTATATGAAAAGGATGCATATTGAATCAAATTAAGTTCCTTAACTTTTCAGGAACTCTCAAAATATATTCCTATGTGGAGGTATACATTCTGAATCAAAATGAATGAGGAACTAGTTCATAATCTAGTGAGCCACACTGTGATTTTTTTCAAAGAACAATGTTGCCACCTAGGGGACAAATAGATTTCATATCTTTTCAAAGAGGGCTGTTGGGTGAGGAAGACTTAAAATTCAAAGGCTTTTGGGGGAAAATAAGGTAATTCTATGGAATATGGAAGAATTAAGGCAAGTATGGAGGCCCCTGAAGTTAAAATTAAGGCGTAGGTAATACATAAATGAAGAAAATTAATTATATATACTTGGTAATAAAATTCACTGCATAAATTTAAAAGAGGCTAATTATATTTAGATTATAAAAAGGTAGTCAAAACATATATTTTAAAGAAAAAATATTTCTATCCACCTGATTAGAAGAAGCATACATTAGTAGGTTGCAATTATTTTTTTCATAAATTGTTTTGTCTTTGTTTTTGACAAAATGATAACCATTTTCAGCAAATTTAACTGATAAAAAAAAGTCCTCTCCCCGCCACACACACAAACACATAAGTATAGCCATTGAATATTTTTATTAAAATGCTCTGTAGAAACATATTTATATATATAAACATATTACATAGGCTAAGGGCGTTTATTACCACCAAGCCAGCAATGCAAGAAATATATTTAAAAAATATTTTTACAAAAATGAGATCATGATGTACAAATTGTTTGTTAACACGAAATCCTATTGAGTAAATGTATCATGATTTATTCATTGGTTCCTTGTTTTGGACATTTTTACTTTTTTTCTAATTAAAATTTTTTTTTTATTGATTTCAGAGAGGGAGAGGGAAAGAAACCAGTGATGAGAAAATCATTGATAAGCTGCTTCCTACTGGGATTTGGCAGCAATCTGGTCATATGACCTCACCTGAGTGGAACTCTTATATATGGTCCATAGGTCAATGCTCAACCATGAGCCACACTGGCCAGGTGAGACCATACCTTTAAATTAGCTCTACTTTCTTTACCTAGAAGAATTTTATGTCATTTTTGTCTAGCTGGCATGGCTCAGTGGTTGAGCATTGACCTATGAACCGGGAGGTCACGGTGAGGGCACATGCCTGGGTTACGGGTTCAGTCCCCAGAATGGGATGTGCAGGAGGAAGCCAATCAGTGATTCTCTCTCATCACTGATGTTTCTATTTCTCTCTCCCTTCCTCTCTGAAATCAATAAAAAAATATATTTAAAAAATTTTTATGTCTTTTTTATTATATACTAGAGGCTTGGTCCACAAATTCGAGCACCAGTGGGGTCCCTTGGTCTGTCCTGCAGGATCGGGTCAAAACCGGCTCTTTGACATCCCTTGAGGGGTCCCAGATTGTGAGAGGGCACAGGCCAGGTCAAGGGACTCCACTGGTGCATGATCGGGGCTGGAGAGGAACATGGAAGGTTGGCCAGCTGGAGAGGGACCATAGGAGGAATCCAGCACATGTCCAGTCTGTCTTGCTCAGTCCCATTTGGCTGGACCCCAGCAGAAAGCTAACCTACTGGTCAGAGCATTTGCCCCTGATGGTCAGTGCACGTCATAGCAAGCAGTTGAATGGATGACTGGACACTTAGCATATTAGGCTTTCTCTTTTACTTCTTTTTTTTTTGTTTAATATATTCTATTGATTTTTACAGAGAAGAAGGGAGAGGGATAGAGACTTAGAAATATTGATGAGAGAGAAACATCAACCAGCTGCCTTCTGCATACCCCTTATTGGAGATATGCCTAAAACCAAGGTACATTGCCCTTGACTGGAATCAAACCTCCTGATACCCCTTATTGGGGATGTGCCCAAAAACAAGGTACATGACTTTGACTGGAATAAAAGCCTAGCCCTAACCGGTTTGGCTCCGAAGGCCGAAGCTCTATCCACTGAGCCAAACCGATTAGGGCTAGTTTTTTATTATATAAGATAGTTTTAGAGGACAGAATGATTCATCTGTGGGAATCATAGGGAGATGATTTTTAAGATTAATACTAAGGAAAATTTTCTAAAAATAAGAACTATTAAAGGTCAGCTTAATGAATTAATGAGATTTGAATTAATGATATTCTGTTTCTAAATGTTCTTCTCATAGGAGGGATTTTCATATTAATTGAGAGATTATATAATCTGACTCCTCAGGTCTCTTCCAGTTCTAAAATATGATTCTGGGTATCCACATGGTTAAAATGAAAGATATTTAAAAATATGATTATGAGGATATCTTGTCTGAATGTTTTGAGAACTATTATTTATGAAAGGTTTTTAGGAACTCAATACTGATCCTATAAATCTAGAGAAGATTGGGGGAAATGTGGTACTCACAGCAAAGACTTGGAGATTTTCTGCATGTGTTCAGGATTAAGAGGTAAAATGTAACAGAAAATGTAACAGAATTTCCTAGGAATATGCCCCAATAAACCCCAATTTCATTTCCTATTGACCAGGTTTTTTTTTTGTTGTTGTTGTTCTCTTTTTGTTTTGCTATTTTAATTTAGCTGAAGGAGAATTTGAGGAACTCAGAGCGGAAACATCAAGAGACTCTTAGAAAATTGGAAACCAGGTTTTTTGAAGAAAAGGTATGACATATTAAAGTTAATTTAAAATTCTTTCATTTACCAGAACAACATAAATGTATTTACATGCACTCTGAGATATCAACCTTCCATTTGATACCTTGTTAGTTTTTGTTTTGTTTTTTAATCAAATCACAGTAGAATAAAAAAAAAATAGGGAAAACAAAGCCTATTTTTAGATATTTCACTGTCTAGTCTTTTCTCCCTTACAAGTTAGAGATTCTTGAAACCCCCAAGTGAGATTGTCATCTTACCAATGCTTTCAGACGTATCCCCCTCAGTTTGATGTTTCCTTGGCGGAACTAAAGCTACATGAACCTCATTATATAGAGGAGGTGGGATTGGAGAGGTCACTCTGGTACACATGATATACATTTTAATTATTATTATTGTTTGGGTCCAATAATAGGATATATTTTCCATGAGAGCAGGGACTCTATCTGTTTTGTTCACCACAAAATCTCCAGTGTTTAAAAAACCTGGTGCACTATTATTGCTCCATAGGAATTTGTTGAATGAATGAATAATGACTCTCATCAACCTGATAGATACTGACTCTCGTTGTATTTAGCAGAAATTTCTCTCAGCTCTGCTTTGCCATACTAATGTTGATTTGCCCCCCCCCCCCCATATTTATCTGTCATGTTGTCTCTTTAACGAGGAGATGGGGAAGTGCCCTAAGGTTTCTGTGTTCACACTATTTTTCTGACTCCTCTATCAATAGGTGGAGTTCACATCAGGTCATGTGGACAGGAGATTTTTGACATTATAAAATACTTAACTTTTTGATGTGTTAATTTGTTGTTAGAAATATAACTCTGTATTAAAACAGACTATTTTCTTTTTTAGCACCGACTAGAAATGGAAGCTGAAAAGAAGATAATAATGCTGGCAGAGAGAGCCCATCATGAAGCTGTTGTGTAAGAGACTGCTGCCATTTTCCCCTTTTTAATAGCCTCTCTTTCTTTTTTCAGGTCTGTTTTATTCTTATCATGTTGTCTTCCCACTTCTCTCCTGGTTTGCTTTCTTTGAATTTTCTGACTTATTTTCCCTCACTGTTTCCATAAAGAGAACTTTATGTTTCCACCCTCTTCCACTCCACCCTTTTTGTAGCAGCATGGTATGCAGGTAAGAACCTGGGCTTTGGAATTAAACTGCTCTCAACACATATACCAATTGACTGTAGGTAGATTCCTTAATTTTTTTAAATTAAATTTCTTTATCTAAAAAATGGGTTAATGCCGTAGTTGGTTTGGCCCAGTGGATAGAGTGTCGGCCTGCGGACTGAAGGGTCCCTGGTTAGATCCGGTCAAGGGCACATGCCTGCTTTGCGGGCTTGGTTCCCAGTAGGGGGCGTGCAGGAGGCAGCCAATCAATGATTCTCTCTCATCATTGATATTTCTATCGCTTTATCCCTCTCCCTTTCTCTCTGAAATCAATAAAAAATATATTTTTAAATGGGGTTAATAATAGCAATCTGGTAGGGTTGTCCTTATAATTAATTTTGGGGGTGGGGAAATAAAGAAGTAATTGTCCTAGTTTGTTAACATCTGAAACTTAGACCTCTGTTTTGAAATCTTGTGTCTCTCTATTTCAGGCAGCTGAACAGTGCTGGAAGAGCTGTTTTTAAAGAGAATGTTTATCTCCAGAAAGCTCTTGACTACCACCTGAAGGAAGCTGATACTCTACAAAAAAAATCTAAGCAGTTGCTAGAGTCTAAAACTTCCCTTTTATATCAAAAGGTTCCCATTCTCTTTTAGACTTTGCTTCCTATCTCTTAAAAAAATATGTTCTTACTGATTTCAAAGAGAGGAAGGTAGAGGGAGAGGGGAATAGAAATATCAATGATGAGTATCATTGATTAGCTGCCTCCTGCATGCCCCTACTGGCAATCTAGACTGAAACCCAGGCATGTGCCTGACTGGGAATTGAACTATGACCTCCTGTTTCATGAATCAAGCTCAACCACTGAGCCACACTGGTAGGGCCTTATCATTGTTTTTTGTTTAGATTAACTTGGTAAATACTAAGCATTGAGCATAGTGTTTCTATGTAATAAAAAGGTAATATGCAAATTGACCATCATGCCATCACAAGATGGCCGCCTACAATCAAGCCAACAGGGGGGTTAGTGAGGGATGACCAAACAAATGAACAAGCAGGCTGTGTGGGGCAACTAGGCCGCAAGGGGGGGGGGCGTTGGGGTCAACCAGAGCAACGGGGGGCAATAAGAGGCAACCAGGCAAGTGGGGGTAGTTGGGGCGTCCAGGCTGGCAGGGGGGACACTTGGAGGTGATTAGGCTGGCAGGGGGGGCCGGTGAGGGGCAACTAGGCCACCAGGGGAGAGCAGTTAGGGGCGACCAGGCAGGCAGGCAGGTGGACCATTAGGAGCCAACTGTCCAGGATTTGGGGAGGGATGTCTGACTGCTAGTTTAGGCCAGATCCCCAACAGCAATCAGCCCATCCTGCACCTTCCTGGATTAGAGAAGGTGCAGGATGGGCTGAGGGGACCCCCCTTCCGTGCACTAATTTCCATGCATCGGACCTCTAATAAAGATACATAAGGACAAAGGGATCATTTTTCTTCTGTCTGAATGACATACCTTTCTTATTTCAAAAGATTAATTACTGAATGACTAAGAAGCATTAGACTTGGCATTATAAAGAATATATTAGAAACCTAAATACAACTCCTATTATCTACTAATTGAGAATACTCATTTTGCTTTGCTTAGAGTTAGTCTCTGATTCACTTAGGAATAGGTTCAGCCCTGTAACAGCCCTGACAACAGTGGCATCTACACTAATAAAAGAGAAAGATGCAAATTGACCATATCTCCACAATGCCCACAAGCCAATCAGGAGTATGCAAATTAAGCCAAACAAAGATGGTGGGTAAATTTGCATACACAGGCAGCAAGCCCACAGCCTCCCGGGACCATTACCACCCGCGGAGGTGAGGGCTGTGGCGCCAAGCCATGCCCGCAGGCTCCCAGGACCGTCACTGGCCCTGGGAGGCAAGGGCAGCTGCACAGCTTGACAGCAGATAGCAGGCCCTGCTTGGCTGTAGCTGCGGTGACCCATAAGCAGGCAAGCAGGCCATAGGCAGCACCCATCAGGGCCTGCTTGGCCATCACCAGGGCAACCCGTGAGCAGGCAAGTGCAGCTCACAGACAGCACCCAGCAGGGCCTGCTTGCCAATTGCCATGGTGTGGAGCAGGCAGGCCCCACAGAGAGCAGAGAACCATGGGGAGTGGGCCTAAGCTGTCAGTAGGACGTTCCCTGAGGGCTCCTGGATTGGAGAGTGTGCAGGTCAGGCTGAGGGATGCTCCCCCCCTGAGCACAAATTTCGTGCACCAGGCCTCTAGTCATCACATAAGGGTTTATTCTCTCACCTAAAGTAAGTCGGAGATGGAAAGCCAACAGAGCCCAGGTTCCTTAACTCTGCTCTGCAGCATGTGGCTTACATCCTCAAAGTCACCTCATGCCCCACAGCAGCTGCTGAATCTCTAACCATTACTAAAAGAGCAGGAAGGAAGAAGGACAAGAAGGAAAAATATATGTCCCTCCCTTTAGTGGTCTTTCTGAAAGTCCTACACACATTTCTACTTGCATCTCATTGATCAGAACCTACATTGCTATGCTGAACCCCAGGGGAGACAGAGAATTTTCAACTGAGCTTACTGCCTTCCTGGGGTGGGGGTGGGGGGTGGGGGAATCGGCATTTTTTGGCATCATATTCAAATCTCACAAAGTAATGGAAATTAGAGAGGAACTTTTAAGTTCTGAATTGACAAAAGAAAAAAGAAATCTCTCACCTCTTTCTGTTTTTAGGAAATCGACAATCTGTTGGTTAAGGAAAAGGTTATGCAATTTACCCAGCAGAGATCGCAAATCAAAAGTCTTCAGAGGAAGGTGTTAACCTTGGAGAATGCCCTGAAATGTCTGACTAGAGAGTTTGAGACTGAAGTTCTAAAACTGAAGCAACAGGCAATGGTAAATAACCAAGGTGATCAGATTGAAATTTTCAAGCTGCAGAACCTTCTTCAGAAGAAGGACAAGGAAATGAATAGAGTGAAGAAATTGGCCAAGAACATACTAGATGAGAGAACAGAAGTGGAAAGGTTCTTTTTGGATGCTCTATACCAAGTGAAGCAGCAGATTGCATTTAACAGGATACATTATAAGCAGGTGGCACAAGCTGCTTTCAATTTAAAAATGCGAGAGGCATATGCAGGAAGAACAGAATATCCTAAAATTCGAACGTTTGATGGCAGAGAGCACAGCACCAATAGTGTGGATCAGGATCTTATGGAGGCTAGTAAATGGTACTAATAATACTTTAATATTTTATCTTTTTTGCTGCTATTTTTGTACCCTTTAGAGAAATAAGAACCCTGAAAAATTCATTTTGGTAATATCTAAGTATTGAGTAGATTACTTAGTGAGGTACTTGAGGATAGGAACCAACTCATCTTTGTAACCTCTATGCTTGGCATAGTTTGTGGGGCCTAATATTCCTAGTGGTGTCCTCTTAAAAAAAAAATACACACACACACACACACACACACACACACACTATTGATTTTTTATAGAGAGAGGAAGGGAGAGGGATATAGAGTCAGAAACATCGATGAGAGAGAAACATCAATCAGCTGCCTCCTGCACACTCCCTACTGGGGATGTGCCCACAACCAGAATCAAACCTGACACCCTTCAGTCTGCAAGCTGACACTCTATCCACTGAGCCAAACTGGTCAGGGGAATAATGCCCTCTTTTCTTCATAAGATAAACTATTAAAGGGACTAGATTATTTTTTCCCATAGAATCCCATTGCAGTATCCTTTAACACGCTCCTTTATTTTGTTTTCTATAAACTAGTTACATAGGTTTAATTAGATTCAGGTTAAACATTTCTTATAAACATACTTTCATAAATATTTTATAGAGGCCCATGCACAGCTTCGTGCACCAGTGGGGTCCCTCAGCCTGACCTGTGTCCTCTTGCAATCTGGGACCCCTTGAGGGATGTCGGACTACTGGTTTCACAGTCTGGCCTGTGGGGATTAAGTCAAAACTGGCGGTCTGATGTCCCCTGAGGGATGTAATAGTGCACAAAGCTGCAGGCGGCTCTTGCTCACTCTGGCCCTGCTGCTCTGTAGTGCACTGACGTGTAGGTGGGAGAGGCTCGTGCCACCGCTGCTGCACTTGCCAGCGTTGAGCGGCACTCCTGCTATGGGAGCACACTGACCACCAGGGGGCAGCTCCTCTGTTGAGCATCCCCCCGGTGGTCAGTGTGCTCCCATAGCAGAACTGCCCCCGGTGGTCAGTGTGTGTCATAGCAACCAGTCAAATGGTCATTCACTTAGGCTTGTGTATATATTCGATATATCTATATCTATATCTATATCTATATCTATATCTATATCTATATCTATATCTATATCTATATCTATATCTATATCTATATCTATATCTATATCTATTTCTATAGATATAGATATAGATATAGATATAGATATAGATATAGATATAGATATAGATATAGATATAGAAATAGATATAGATATAGAAATAGATATAGATATATAGAAATAGATATAGATATAGATATAGATATAGATATATGTTCCTTTTACTATTCTGAGATGAAATTCATAGGTAATAATACCTAACTAAACATATAATTAAAAAAATCAATATAACAATTCATTGTAACAATTCTTTCTTTTACAGAACTGTCCCATGGATCGGAGGACACCCAGTAGGGCCCCCATCATTGTATTAACCAAAAGTCCCCACAAGTTTCCTTGATATGTACTGCTACTATGATAAAGGTAGCAGAATGCTTGAGACAGTTGTAGCTATATACTATGATAACTGCTTACGTAGCATTTTTATCTGTGGGAGCGCTCTTCCCCCTATAAACCACGTATTAAGTTAGGATGCATTTTTAAAGATTATTGTTAAAATTAGGTTTTATATCCCAACGAAATTAGGTTCTTCAAAGGCCTTACGTCAAGAAACTTAAAAGGATTCCAGACCTCTCTATGTACTTAACATTTTACTAAGAGTGCTTCCAAATGTATTTTCTGCCTGAAATTATTCTTTAGTGGATTAATTTGTATGCTTTTTTAAATTAGCTGCTGGAAAGGTTGGACATGGTTAATAGCTTCTGAAAGATAAGACTATTCTTAAAAAATGTCCTTATAGTGTATGATTTTTTAAACTTCTTTCTATATTCAGAAGTCTGTAATAACACTCTTTTTTACCAACAGATACACTACAATTCTAATTTATTTAATACCAAGTTGAGCCCCTATCAAACATAAGGCAGTTTCCTTTAAAATTTTTTGTCTATGGCCCCAGCCAGTTTGGCTCAGTGGATAGAGCATTGGCCTGCGGACCGAAGGGTCTTGGGTTTGATTCTGGTCAAGGGCACATACCTGGGTTGTGGGCTTGGTCCAATGTGCAGGAGGCAACCAATCAATGATTCCCTCTCATCATTAATGTTTCTAATTAATCTCTCTCTTCCTCTCCCTTCCTCTCTGAAATCAATGAAAATATATATTTTTAAAAATTATATATATATATTTATATATAAAATAGTATGTTAGTTTTCAGAGGAAGGTATATAAACTGATTCTACACATTGTTATTGAAGAAACTGGACTCTTCCTATTCTGCCTTCCGTGTGACATTTCTGCTATTGAGCAGCTTGTCACCTTAACCTCAGTTTCCTATTAATTGCTTCCTTAACATTTCTATCCGTTAGAGCACTCTTCCCCCTATAAACCCTTAGCAGGGCAGGTAGAGGCAATAGAAAAGTAAAAGATAAGTAAATGATTTTTAAGAGGCTTAAGAGACAGGTTGGAAAATGACAGTTGAAGTATATGGTGATAAAGTAAAACCTAAAAATTTAAAAAATATTTTTCATTGATTTCAGAGAGGAAGGGAGAGGGGAAGGAAGGAGAGAGAGGGAGGGAGGGAGGGAGAGAGAGTGGGGGAGGAGGGAGACAGAGAGAGGGAGGGAGAGAGGGAGGGAGAGAGTCATCAATAATGAGAATCATTGATCAGCTGACTCCTGTATGCTCCACACTGAGGATAAAGCCTGAAACCTGGGTATTTTGTTCTGACCTGAAATTTAACTGTGGCCTCCTGGTTCATAGGTTGATGCTCAACCACTGAGACATGCTGGTTGGGCAAAACCTATACTTTAAAAAAAAACTAACATGCTATGGCTCAGTGGTTGAGCATCAACCTATGAACCAGGTCGGCTAATATTTAGATAGAGTATTGATGTTGTATAATGTGAGACATTTTTTGCATATAGAGCACTTAGTTTTATTTCTTTAAAAAATATTTTTTTTTATTGATTTGAGAGGAAGGGAGAGAGGTATTTTCTTTTCTCATATTTACATATTTTGTATTTTTCAATAAAAGAGATGATTACTTTGACTATATTTTTCCTTTGATATTCTTTAGGACAGATATTCAAGGAGATGTGGATATTGGAGATTTGACTTGGGAGCAGAAGGAGAAAGTCTTACGATTGCTCTTTGCAAAAATGAATGGTGTTGGTCCTAGGTAAATCCCTTCTGTAGTAAAATACCAAGTTGTCATCAATCCTTGAAACCATATAGGAATAATGAACTTATTCTTAGAATGAAAGGATTAGGAAAAGATCAGAAAATATAAAAGGGTTATACTGCTTAGCTATACAATTCTCAGAGATAAATAAGAGAGTAGAAAAGAGATTAATTTTAGATGTTTTAAGATAATGCTTACTAAGAAGGTATAATATTGCACAGCTAAATGAGCAGTAATGTAGAGATGCATAACAGCTGTTAAGATTTTATTGGTCTAAAAAGATAATTAAATGATTTTAAGCTGATTATTAATCAAGAGAATCTCTAATACCAAAGAAAAGACCTAAAACGGAAAATAAAAATCTACAGATATTTAAAATAATTCTCTTTAAATTGATTTTTTAAAAAATTGATTTTAGCCGAAACTGGTTTGGTTCAGTGGATAGAGCATCGGCCTGCAGACTGAAAGGTCCCAGGTTTGATTCCGGTCAAGGGCACATCCTTGGTTGCGGGTACATCCCCAGTGGTGGGTGTGCAAGAGGCAGCTAATTGATGATGATTCTCTCATTGATGTTTCTAACTCTCTATCCCTCTCTCTTCCTCTCTGTAAAAAAATCAATAAAATATATTTTAAAAATTTATTTCAGAGAGAGGAAGAGAGATAAAAAACAAAACATCAACAATGAGTGAGAATCATCGATCTGCTGCCTCCTGCACATCCTTTACTAGGGATCAAACCCACAACCCAGACATGTACCTTGATGGGTTATTGAACCTTGATCTCCTGGTTCATGGGTCGAAGCTCAACCACAAAGCCACACCAGCCAGGCTAAAATAATTCTTCTTAATGAATTGTTTCACTCTCGACTATGTTTTATCAGTGACTATAACCCTGGTAATGAACTATAAAGTGAGAAAAATTAATCAACTACTTACTGATTTGAGAGGAAGGGAGAGAGGTATTATGTGCTTGGAAGTATGTTAGGTACTCTGGGGATTCAACAGAATTAAGAGACATTCCTTTAATATCAAACAAAACCAAAAATAACAAGGATAAAAATAGATGGAACAAAAAAGTACAATTGGAGTTCAGACAATATGTCAATGGGCTAGTCAGGAAAGAAGACCTCAGTCAGAAAGACAGGAAGTATGGCTCTGTGGGGTACCTTGGAAGAGAGTGGGATAGTAGAGAGAGGGTTTAGGGCACATCAGGCAAGGGGCAAAGTAGACAGCATAAGCAAAAGCCCAAGGCAGAAGTGGGTATCAGGTATTTAGGGAACATTGGGGAAAAAGTGCCTACCTTGAAGAAGTGTGGTAATACTGGAGAATAATTAGTAATTAAAAATAAGGATTAATCTATAGATTAAATTATGATGAGCCTTTAAAAACCGTGCAGAAAAGCCTGAACTTTTGCTAGTGTAGATTCTAGAGCAGTGTAACATATTTTTCTTCTCCATCTTAAAGGAATCCAGAGAGCAATATGTCATATTCTCATATTTTCACTGGAAGGGCTCACAGGTTATTGTTCTCAGAGCTAACTGGAACCTAACAGTGGCCATGTGATGGCTTGGAGGACAGAATTAGAGGTGGGGTCCAGCAGAAGCTGCTGCACTCCTCATGTGGTGGTGAGGGGTTTAGGCAAAAGTGGGAGCAGTCAGAAAAAAGGAAGCTGAGACACGAGAAGGAGAAACAGCTTAGTGATAAAAGGACAAAAGGAATAAAGACAACAAAGTATAAATGTTTGT